ACAAAAGGGATCTGATTAATAAGGTAACGATCTTAATGACAAAAGGGATCTGATTAATAAGGTAACGATCTTAATGACAAAAGGGATCTGATTAATAAGGTAACGATCTTAATGACAAAAGGGATCTGATTAATAAGGTAACGATCTTAATGACAAAAGGGATCTGATTAATAAGGTAACGATCTTAATAACAAAGCTATTCATACAACTGTATATGAAAGTCTTACAAATTAGATAATGAATGTAGATAGTTTAATTACATTTAACTGACACAAAATAGAATGTTATTAAAAGATTTAGAATCCTAGGACTTGAGCTACAAAATCCTGAAATCCCAGAATTCAGAAAAAGCTTGGGATTGCAACCCCCAAAAATTTTAAATTATTTCATCAAATAACTTCAACCTCCAAAGGAAATATGCATTGATGCTTACAAAGACATTATATGGCTAATTACTACTGATCAAATGTCAGCTAACTCTATAGATAAAAACAACAAGTTAATGACTATGTCTACAAAAACAATGTACAAGTACGTCAAAAATCAAAACTGAAACCTAGAAACTCTTATTTTAATAACTAATTTTCATAATAATCTATCATTTTGTGAAGTTTAAACACAATAAAAAAAAGTGTTTATATACGTCCATAAGAGCAAATTATAAAAAAAATATTTCAAAAAGGTAGCTTTTAAAAATGAAATTAAGAGGGCACTGATGTCAACAATTATTTTTTTTTTAAAGAATAATGAAAAATAAATTATCATAAAAAAATCTACACAGTTCCCGTTTTCTGAAAGAATAAGTTACTCACGTAAAAACATTTTCCTGTAACCACATCCCAATGATCGAGGTGTAATACAGTAAGTGGCTTCCAAGCCACGATAAACACTTTTGCAATGCTACTAACATCTCCAACACCACAGCTAGGACTTTCTCCACGTAAACTGGAAGTTTACTGTTCAGCTGAAAAGAAGATTACAATTTTGGTGTTTTCAATCTGAATGGCACCTCGTGTAACAGCCGACCATCCCTTTATACCACAGCTTGAAACTTACAACTCATCATGGTAAAAAATATATTATGCATGTATTACTTCATAAAACTACTAACTAAAGATTTTAGTGCAGAGTGGAGGTGAGAGTAGGTCCTGCATTATACACTTTAATATTTAATAATTGTTTTATATGTCAGAGAAGTTAACTTCTATAAGAGACTAGACCTATTCTTTTTTTCATTATTTAAAATCAGTAAAAAAAACAAAAAACTGTTTGCTGGTTTATAATCAATACAATCTTAAACACAAACTTCAAGGATAGGTTTAAACTACTATATACCCGAGTTAAACTATTAACCTACTTTAATATAACATTGCACAATTTTTAACACCAGTCTGATAAATCACACCATTTTGAGCATCAGACTGATACGACATCACACCGGTTTGAACCCCAGTCTGATACAACATTACACCCTGTTTAACCCTAAATCTGATACGACATTATACTATGTTTAACCCCAAATTTGATATTACATTACACTGTTTAACCCCAAATCTGATACAACATTATACTATGTTTAACCCCAAATCTGATACGACATTATACTATGTTTAACCCCAAATCTGATACAACATTACACCCTGTTTAACCCCAAATCTGATACAACATTACACCCTGTTTAACCCTAAATCTGATACAATATGATCAGAATCAGTAAAAAGTTCAAAATTATTAATTCAACGATGATATATTGGTAATAAAACCTCACTGAGATTAAGTAATAGATATACATCTTAAAACACTGTCTGATACAATCTGTTATTAGTCCTAGGAACATGTACTGAAAGTGTGTTATTGCAAAACACCAAAGTGCTTCACCTAATAATAATAAATAAAATCATATCCTAGGAAAACTTTGATGTCTTACGGGTTTTTTTCCCGTTTTTTATGAAATTGAAATAGTTGCGTATATAAATAACTAGTTTTAGTTTTACATCAATATCAAGAATACCGATTCAAGTATAGGTGGAATCTTCACATTCAGCCAGTCTCGTACACCTTGAGTACTAGTCCACAGATACACACAGAGGGCAAAAAACTTTGTCCAAAATATCTCCAGGTAGTAGTTCAAGAAAGTAGAAACTTTTCTGCAGTACATGGGTATGTTATTTTGAGCCCACCTGCAAGAAATAAAACGAATTGAAAGTTTTATCCGTTTGTTTGTTTTGAATTTTGAGCAAAGCTGCACGAGGGATATCTGCGCTAACCATACCTAATTTAGCAGTGAAAGACTAGAGGGAAAGCAGCTACTCATCACCACCCACTGCAAACTCTTGGGCTACTCTTTTACCAAGAAATAGTGGGATTGACCGTCACATATAATGCCCTTACGACTGAAAGGGTGAGCATGTTTGGTGGGACGGGGATTCGAACCAGCGACCTGCAGACTGTGAGTAGAGTGCCCTAGCCACCTGGCCATGAGGTTTACTTGAAAATAAATATTGATACACTTAGTTGTCTTTTCAAAACCTAACTGTAGCTGAGTAAAAGAGCTGGTTTTATCAGAAACTGTAACTCAGGCCTTAGTGTATCTTGGTGTCAGATGTTACTGTAATCAGGTGGCTGAGCTGGTTTTAACAAACACTGTAATTCAGGTCTTACTGTAGCTGGCTGAGTTGTTTTTATTCAAAACTTTAATCTTCAGTCTGCTCTCTAAGCAACCAAAAATATGGGTTATTTTGAGGTTTGGTTTCCAACCAATCCGAGCAAGCTTTCACTGTTTAGTGACCAATCATTATGGTTTACATGAAACAGTAAATCAGCACGTAATTAGTATCAATGTAAGGCTACAAATGTTACAATACAGAAAAAAAACAATGTGTTATTTAGAAAATCACATTAATTCATATTATCAACTTCACCTATTATAATTTACTTAGTAAATTGTCATCATGGCTAACTGCTTCATGAGTATCACACAAAATGAAACTTTAATGGACAGGCTTTACGAAAAACTAAATCAAGCCCAAACTAAAGAGACAAAAATTCACAAAAACACTACCAGAAGATAAGTGTAAATTATTCACCTATACATCTTTCTGCAGTAAACTGCCGTACTTCTCCAAGCCTGTTGAGAAATTGTTAGAACACCAACATCCTTCAGAAACTTTCTTGTCTGTGACTCTAGAAAACAGTCAACAAAGTTTAGTTAAAGAACAAGACAACAAAAGGAATGGAATGAAGAAACTACTCAATAAAACAGGATGCTCTGGATCATAAAGATGCAAAAAAATACCATCCACATGCAGGAGGTAAGTAACCCCCCTCCCCTCCCCCCAAAAAAAAATCTTTCCACCTACATTTTTTTGTCCAAATCTGAGTATTTTAGATGATAACCTTAGGTAAGAAAGGGTTAGGCACCCTTATCATTTTAGACATACTTCGAAAACAAATTTGAGAAATACAAGATTGGGGACTCAAATATTTCTTGTCATCAATTAATCCTTTCTCTGTATAAAACATTATGAAAGAAAACCTTTACACAATGATCATCATCATGGGTATATTGTTACCAGAACTATCATAATATACGGAACAACAAGGGACCACTTGGTCCTTCCATACTGTCATAACATAATATACAGGCCAACAAGGGACCACTTGATCCTTCCATACTGTCATAACATAATATACAG